AACTGAGGTACCAAGAGGCAAGGAAGAGAATGCTAGCAAGACCATGCCAAAGGGGGAGTCACAGCCATCAAGAAATAGAGACATCAAATGTTTTCGTTGCTTAGGAGTGGGGCACATTGCTTCTCAATGCCCAAACAAGAGAACCATGATTCTGCGGGACAGGACAGCGGGGAAGTGGAAACTGAAAGTGAGAGTGATTATGCAGACATGTCAGAATTGGAGGATGTTGATGAAGAAGATACAACTGAGTATGCAGTTAATAGTAATTTGTTGGTCACAAGGAGAGCTCTTAGTGCTCAAATCAAGGCGGATGACTTGGAGCAGCAGTGAGAAAATATATTCCACACGCGATGTCATGTCAATGGCAAGGTATGTAGTGTGATAATAGATGGCGGCAGTTGTACTAATATGGCTAGCACTAACATGGTGGAAAAATTAGGTTTAACACTATTAAAATATCCTAGGCCTTATAAATTACATTGGCCAAATGAATGTGGGGAAGTTAAGGTGACAAAAATGGTGTTGATTAGTTTTTCCATTGGTAGATATCAGGATGAGGTAATGTGCGATGTTGTACCTATGCATCGGGGCATATCTTGCTAGGGAGATCAAGGCAGTACAATAGGAAAGCAATGCACGATGGGTGTAAAAATAAGTATAGCTTTGTGAAAAATGGGAGGTTTATCATTCTTGCGCCATTAACACCGGCGCTAGTATATGAGGACCAAATTCAATTGAAAAATGAAGAAGAAGAGAGAGTGAGGGAATTAGGGAAAAAGAGAGAAAATAGTGAGGTGGCCAATAAAGAGGAAAAGAGAGTGGTGCCACATGAGAGAAAAGAAAGAGAGTCTTCCGAGAGGAGAGAAAAGCCAAAACAAAATTTTTTTGTAAGAGGAAGTGAACTGAAAAAGGTAATAGTTGAGAGGCAACAAATGATATTGTTGGTTTATAAGGAATCACTCCTCAACTTTGAGGAGCACAACACATCCCTCCCTAATTTGGCTATTTCTTTGTTGCAAAAATTTGAAGACATGTTTTCGAAGGACGTACCTAGTGGGCTACCACCCATTAAAGGAATTGAGCACAAAATTGATTTCATAATACCTGGCGCTGTCATTCTGAATCGATCAGTTTATCAAAGTAATCTAGAGGAGACAAAAAAGCTTCAGAGGCAAGTTGAGGAATTGATGAGCAAAGGATATGTACGGGAAACCATGAGTCCATGTGCAGTACCTGTATTGCTAATGCCAAAGAAAGATGGAACTTGGAGAATGTGCGTAGACTGCAGAGCCATCAACAACATTACGATAAAGTATCGTCACCCAATTCCTAGGCTAGATGATATGCTAGATGAGCTACATGGTGCATGTATTTTTAGTAAAATTGATCTTAAAAGTGGGTATCATCAAATTCGCATGAGGGAGGGTGATGAATGGAAAACGACTTTTAAAACTAAATTTGGATTGTATGAATGGTTAGTCATGCCGTTTGGACTCACAAATACACCAAGCAATTTCATGCGTTTAATGAACCATGTTTTGCATGCTTTTATTAGAAAATTTGTTGTAGTTTATTTTGATAACATTTTAATCTATAGCAAGAATCTTGATGAGCATGTAGAACATTTGAGGTGTGTGCTTGTGGTTTTGAGGAAAGAACAACTTTATGCTAATTTTAAAAGGTGCACATTTTGCATGAATAGGGTTGTATTTCTAGGCTTTGTAATTAATGCTAATGGTGTAGAGGTAGATGAAGAGAAAATAAAGGCTATTAAGAATTGGCCAACACCTAAAAATATAACTGAAGTTAGAAGTTTTCATAGATTGACTAATTTTTACAGGCGTTTTGTTGGGGACTTTAGCACGATTACCACGCCACTAACTGAAATTGTCAAGAAAAATGTGGGGTTTTAATGGGAGGTAGAACAAAAATATGCATTCAACACCATCAAAGATTGTTTGTGTAAATCACTGGTTTTAGCACTTTTTAACTTTAACAAAACTTTCGAGATTGAGTGTGATGCATCAGGAATAAGTATTAGAGTAGTCTTAATGCAGCTATAGCCTACTTTAGTGAGAAGCTAAGTGGTGCAGCTCTCAACTATCATACGTATGACAATGAGCTTTATTCACTTGTTCGAGCCTTAGAGACATGGTAGCATTACCTGTGGCCAAAAGAGTTTGTAATTCATGATTCTTATCATGAATCATTGAAACACTTGCGGGGTCAAGGTAAGTTAAACAAACGACATACACGCTGGATGGTATTCATATAAACTTTTTCATATGTCATTCGTTACAAACAATGTAAGGAAAATGTAGTAGCAGATGTATTATCGTGAAGCTATGTGCTTTTAACTACTTTAAGTACAAAATTGCTTGGTTTTGAGTATATTAAGGACATGTACGCTAATGATTCTGAATTTTCCAACATTTATAATTCATGTCATAAGGGACCGTAGATAAATTCTTTAAGCATGAAGGGTACTTGTTTCGGGAAAACAAATTATGTGTTTTTAATTGCTCTATGCGTGAATTATTGGTTAGAGAATCACATAGTCAGAGTCTAATGGGTCACTTTGGGATAGCAAAGACTTTAGAAATATTAACTGAGCATTTTTATTGGCTTAAAATGAAAGTTGATGTGGAATGAATTTGTAGTTGATGCTTAACTTGTAAACAGGCTAAATCGAGGGTCTTACCTCATGCGCTTTATACACCTTTGTCAGTACCTAGTGAACCTTGGGTAGGCATCTCAATAAATTTTGTGTTAGGTTTGCTTAGGACTAAAAAGGATCTGGATTTCATTTTTGTAGTGGTGGATAGGTTTAGTAAGATGATACATTTCATTCCATGTCACAAAACTGATGACGCCACTAACATTGCAGACTTGTTCTTTAAAGAAATTGTGCGCTTGCATGAAGTACCTAAAAATATTGTGTCAGATAGGGATGTCAAATTTCTTAGTCACTTTTGGAGGGTCTTGTGGAATAAGTTAGGCACGAAATTATTATTTTCTACAACTTGTTACCCACAAACTAATGGACAAACTGAAGTAGTGAATAGGAACATGACACAACTATTGCGCACTGTGGTTAATAAGAATTTAAAAAATTGGGAAGAGTGCTTACCTTTCATAGAGTTTGCATATAATAGGGCTACACACTCCACTACATCATTTTCTCCATTTGAAATTGTTTATGGTTTTAATCTTATAACACCTATGGATCGAATATCTTTGCTTGTGAATGAACGAGGGAGCTTGGATGGGAAGAGGAAGACCGAGCTGGTGAAGTCACTCCATGAAAAGGTGCGAGAGCAAATTGAGAAGAAGAGTAAGCACTATGCAGAGCAAGCAAATAAGGGCAGGAAGATTGTTACATTCAAACCAGGAGATTGGGTTTGGATGCATTTCGGGAAAGAGCGGTTTCCAGAACAAAGAAAATCAAAGTTGTTGCCACGGGGAGACGGACCATTTCAAGTGCTTGAG